AATTCACATGGATGGTCCAAATCAATCCCCACTTTCCCTTGCTGGCATTCCCGTCGACTATACAAGTACAAACTCAGTGGAAAAACTGTCCTCCCATATCCAATTTCACATGGATGGTACTACAGCCCTAGCCTAATCATAGCGGTCACACAACTCTTGCCAGCTGAAAGAATCCCAGACAGGAAACAAAATTCTTGGTGGAAATCAAAACTCCCAGTTACTCTTTGCTACTATGGTATGCAGCATCTGCTACGCTTGTGTCCATCTCCGTAAGCCCCAGTTCCTCATTCTGTTCGTAAGTCCTTTCGAATTCCTCGATCTTCAGCCGCTTGTCGTCCGCCATGACATCCGTAACAGGCGCTATAAACGAGTTAGCAAGTGGATCGTCAAGGATCAACGTCCATGGCATCTTAGCTAATGTCAAAAGATCGCGCAGCCTCCTATCAAAATCCACCCATCTCTGCTTCTGTGACTCCTGCGCGCTGTCCCCRAAGCCAAATCCATGCACACTCTTCAAGCGTTCACTGATCTGTGTCAAAAGCCCCTCGACTGTCGTCACAAGACCGCCAAGTGTCCCTGGAGACAGTTCCAATTCCAATTCTGGTATCTGGACACCYGCTGTGTCGGACTTTATGACATCGCGCTTCAGGTCTKCTTCATCCTCTATTCTCACTGTGATTGTTCTCCCCTTCTCTGGGATGGCACCACCRGGTTTCAACTCGGAGTTSCGGTAACCACATGCRTCACAGGTGGATGCCATGACAATGACCTYCTTGAAGTAAGGGATGTTAGTGACAAACATCCGTGTCTCACATGGGACCGCACAAGCTCCGCATGTGGAAGGAAACACCATGACCTCTTCGGGTGCTGAGTATTTGCAGATGGCAGCAAACATGTCCTCGCTAGTGGCCTGAGCAATCGCAYGATTTGCAGCGACAGCACCGACGGCTCCATGTGGTCGGCGCGTTCCTGCAGGCACATACTTCGTCATTGCAGCAGTGCTGCCTGCAACACCRCCACTCTCTGCGCCYGCAGCACCACCRCCAACACCTTCGGTGCCATCCCTGTTCGACATGGYGCAGACCTGCTCYGCCTCCAACCCAAAGGCGCCTCCTTGCTCGCCGGACACCGTATCGTCTGTCAAGAACCCAAGCGCCCGAGTCTGCTCTTTCGAGCGCTCGTAGTGCGTAACCGACATCGAGGGATCTTTCGCTGGCGCTCCAGGATTTTCAATAAAGCTATTTCCAGCAGGGTCATCAAGGATCACTGTGAACGCAGACTTGCCTTGTACACAAGCATCTAACTTTCCTAAGAATGCATCGATTGCGTCGGCAACCGCAGGGTCGATTTTCTGCCGCTCATCCTGCGACTCACGGAGTCCATCGCCTGCCCTCCTGAGAATTCCTTCAACCGTCGACAGGCTGCCTTTCTGCGACGCTGGCGGTACTTCGAACTCCAACTCAGGGATGTAAATGGCTGCAGAGTCAGACTTCACCACTTGCCTATTCATGTCCTCTTCAAACGAAGCGCCCGGGGAAATGGCAAGCTTGTACTGGCACCCATGTGGCTGGAGCTGGCCTGCAAACTGGATCTCGTTATTCCTCTCGCCGCAGTGGGGGCATTCAAAGGCCATCAGAACGACCTCTCTGAAGTGAGGAATCTTTGTCATAAGCACTTGTGTGGTGCCGTTTGCTTCGCATCGCATACACAAGCTCTCAACCGTATGCAATGGGGTAGCAATCTGCTCGCTGTCTTGTTCCTTGCTGGCATCCTCCTGGGTAATCATACGCAAAACAAAGCCAAGCGGCATAATTGCATCGAGGAAAAACGAAGAAAAGATAATTAAAAAAAAAGAAAAAAAAAGATAATGAAAATCGCAATTATGGGAGAGAAAAAGGCAAACAACAATACAAATGCTAAGCGGCACGTGCAAAGAGACCAAGCTGTGCAAGAAGCAATGAGAGAGAGGGAGAAGCATTTTCCTCAAGGTACTCTGATGGTTGGGTTTGCTGAGTGTTTTGACGACAGTTCTATTGCTGATCAAGGATCCTTTTTAACCACTGGTAATCTGTCTTATGGTCATCTAATCATAGATAATTTGACCAACTTTTTTCTATTGTTTGGTACTGCCAGCAGGGCCCAGCACCATTTTGATGTTTTTCGATTATATCAAACAAAATACTTCGATTGCTTTGGAATCTATCTATGGTGTAAATCCTCCTCTGTACTTGTTGGAAGCAGGATCCTCATAGAAAAAGACTGCTCTTCTATCCTCCGCGTTTGCCATCAACGATTCCTCCAATGAACAGCCAACCTCGTCTTTTTTTTCTTTCTTTCTTTCTTTATAAAAATTCCATGCTGTTGTAGCGGCCAGTCACTGAGTGCACATTGATCACCTGGACCAGTAGGCCGTGGGTGTCCTGGAATATGAGACCACCTCCCATCCCATCCTCACCTCAATACTCCTAGCGCACCCCCTATCCCACTATCCTACCTCAGTGTGACCAGCACTCAGGACCATTACCCTACAATTGGGTAGGCAACTTGGACCGAACAGCAGTGATAGGCACCAGGGCTGATCTGATGGGTTACCCAGCGGACCAGCGGACCTAGCGCACCCCCCTATCCCACTATCCTTCCGTGGGTGCCCTGCTGGACGCCGAATCGGACGAGCCTTGTCGAACCGGAACGTCAGACGCCAGGCCCAGACAATCTACTACACGGCCCAAGAGACTTTGGTCCCTAGGTTTCAGACAGGGTAGCACCCATTGAAGCAGTCTTACCGTCCTTCCCCTAGCTTACCCAAGGCCAGGCGGAACTCGGACTGCCCTGAGCCACTTATATACCCCTACCCTTACCCTAGCGTCTAAGCCTTATATACCAGTAGTCTATATATAAGGCCCTGCTGGCAGTAGTCTATATTAGTCTTATATAGACTAATATATAGACAACACAGTTCTATTCGAATATCGGTAGGAACTCCGGTGGCCCTTACCTTCGCAACACTGTCACCCTGCAATCTGGTAAAAGCTAAATTCCCAACAGTGAAAGGCCCTGAGACCCCCAAGGGAGGTTCTGCCTAGACTTTCCTAATAGGCTAATACCACCCACCCACTTAAAAGTTTCTTCACGGTCCTGGCAGCCCCACTCTTCTCGTGGTAAACGCACTCAGCAGCACTCAGCAGCACTCAGCAGCTTGAGGGCTGTGTCATGCTCACAAGGGCGTGATTGACACCAGGTTCATCAGCCGGACCCCTGTTGACTATCATCGTCAGGCACGTACATATCAGCCCCACCCCCCACCCCCGAAAATTTTAAAAACATTTTGAGAGTACTTAAAAGTTCCGTACACACCCCACGCAACATCCAACCCACTTTGCTTATGTCCAACCCACTTTTCGCCCATACAAGGACGGTCGCACTGCTTATCGTGATCTTTGCGAGAACGTTCTTGGACCGTTCCTGCTCGATTCTTCAGACAGACGCCTCCTCCCACATGGAACTCGCTCCTGTCGCGAACCACTAGTCCAGGCCATCTTTTATGTTCCCCTGAACCTGCTCTCTCTAGTTGTGCTCCTAGGTCTTCTATAAAGCTTTCCTAAGCTTCTATCCTAAGTCTACCTCCTCAAGACTCCCTCACTAAAGAGCTTCGCCTCCCTGATCGCCCTCTTCTCTCCCAACAACCACGATACGACGATTTCATTACGGCGCTGCAAAAGCAGTATACGGGTGCCTGATGCATCAAATCTTTGCTCACTGCCTCCCAGCGGCATCCACACACAACACACACACACACACACACACACACACACACACACACACACACACACACACACGGACACAGAGAGAGAGAAAGAGAGAGAGAGAGAAACGGACAGACAGAGAGAG